CACTAAATCAAAACTTTACCGCTAGGAGTCTTCAACTATTTTGGCTGAATATATTGGGTGGGCCCATCGGATTGTTTGGGTGTGGATGGAAAATAATGCTGGGTTTAGGTAAAGGTTTTACTATCTAGAAATTTCCACTTTGTGTTTCATTTTAGAGTTTTTATACGTATATGATGTCAAAGCGTGGACTTCACGTCCAAAGGTATGTTAAAGATGAATTAATAATTAGTGGTAATTTAATTAGCTTTAGGAGTATGTAATATTTAAATTAAATAGATCTAAAAATTAACGAATATTCAATGGTCGACTCCATAGTCATTATTATTATTATTAAAAGTAATTTATAGATCTATCAACATTTTACGACAGACTATCAAAAAGTCTATTAATTTGCAGATTTATTAATATTGGCAAATCAAATAAACAATATAACTGTTTTGAACTAATTTGACTTGGATGTTATTAAATTAATTTTAAAATGAATTAATTTTACATCTATCGTGAACCTAGAGTTTATTCAAGTTCTTAAGTTGTAGTATTATTGACATAAATATACTCGTATTATCTTATATTATAACATCACAATCATTCAACACCATGCCATTGCAGAATTGAATCCCATTCATAAACTAAAGTACATAAGAATAAAACTGTATTATCATTTTTGCCTCCAGAAATATTGTCTAGATAATTCAACGAAAACAATTATTAACACGCTGAACAGGAACTGATCTTCCTTATCAATATGTTTTCTATATTGTCATAATGATTACCAACGAATAACTCAATATTTATTAATTCGATTGGCAGGCCTGAAGGGCAGGGGTTCACACGTTACGCCAATTAGTAAAAATGGGGTATAATGTCTAATAAAAGATAAATTGAATACACGTTCCGGTTGATTATAATACACGCTTTAAGACACGGTCGACAAATACGTTTAAAATTATATTATATGTATATCAAAGATATATTATACTTAAGTCTCGAATCTGAATCTTACCGTGAGAAATTGATACTAACCGCTCCCACTGCAACGTTTAGCTAGAAAATTCATTGCCAAGCTGTGGTAGGTTATTTTCTTAAAGGTTATTAAATAAAATAAGCTTAGCATAAAATATACAGTATTTACAATTTTCTTAACCTATAAAGTAATAATAAAAATAATTAACGAAGAAAGAAGAAAATCAAAACAAATTTAAAAAGTTTGGTCCCTGTGGCACGATATACCTTTAACGCTGGCAAGGAAGTTTCCTCTGACTGATACTTGAAAAGAAGCGAGACTTATTTTTGAGCCAGGAGAAAGTGCAGGGCAGCTCTGTGGTCACCGGTACTATCTACCAGGCGCCAACTTAAAAATCTTTAACTAAGCGCCTGTGCACTTCAACCCCACGGCCCAAGAGTCTCTACTCCAAAGGGAACAAAATTGAAGTCTGGATTGGAAAAGACTCTTATATTTGTGCCGTTTGTTAATTTCTGCCTGATTTCTGAAACGGCACACCCAGCTTTTTTGCTTGCCTCCAGAAATAGGTCCAGATGAGACGGGGCAAAGGTGTCTATCAACAGGTAGCATCCCATACTAAAGCCCGTCCCATTTTCCAAGGGATCAAAAAGATACATTCCATCCGGCCGCTTGCCATCGTCTCTTGCGATGCCTGTTGGCTCCAAAATTGCTGGAACAATATAATAATAATAATAATAATATAATATAATGTTATATAATGTCGTTTAGCATAATGTTTTATTATTGCTTATCGTATAAATAAAATAAGTAGGAAAACACCAAAATATCTTAGAAATGAATCTTGGCGCCTCAAGGGCCACACCGCGCTACAAATTCCTTTACTTACTGAAGTGTTAAGAGTAAAAAATAAAAACAGATTAAACAGAGAAAAATAAGGTTTTTGTATCCTATTCATCTATCTAATTTTCACCGTTTAATCCAAGAACGTATCCCCAAGGAATTTTTATATTAAAGCGTACGCCATCTTTTTCAGTCTGTCACCAACACACTGTATCTTACGCCAATGTGATTGATGGACAGCTTAATAAACCGCAATATTACGTTTCAAACATATTATTTTCTATTAAACAGACAAGATTGATAGGAGCGTATTCATATACGATAGCCTTGATTCGCTATATTGAGAAGCGATTACATGATATTTGTTTAATGGAAGATAAATCTAGATTTTTATCTCCTAAATAACGCCGCTAAATAAGGACTTAGTGTCTTGAACATGGGGCTTGAGCACTAAGTCTTTTCTTTCATTGTGCGCAATTAAAATGTTCATTCACTGTAAAGGAAACCATCGTGGCGATTCCGAAATACCTTAAACCCCAACTGTATTGATATTCTTAATAGGTATGTGCTATGTTATCACGAACAAACATGTGAGGCCAAAAGGAAGGGTCTGTGGCTCTAGTTTTTTCAATAACGAAAATCTATGAAAACAACACAGCAAGTAACTGTTTCGAGGAATATTTAATTATGAGAACTAGACCCTAAGGATAGTTTAGTAGAATACTTCTAAGTCTGGACTAATCAATGCAATTTATATTTTTACCTGGCTCGGGACTGGTTCTTACTATAGTATCAATATAGAATACTACATATTCAGGTACAGTTTTTTTAAATAATTGTGATATTTTCATTCAACCTATTAAAAGTTATGTAAGCGACGAATCAACAAAATTAAATATAGTAGAATTTAAATATATCTTTATGTATAAAAAACTTCAGCGCTTGTGTTAATAAAACCCCTCCTAAACGGCTGGACTAATTTTGAAGATATTATGTTTTGTATGTTGAAGTGAATTCGAGAATGGTTTAGATTTACAATAAGATGTTTTTTTTTGTATTTAAAACGTGTAAAGGACAACGTTCGTCGGTACAGATACCGGCAAACATCTTGAACATTAAACAAGGGAGCGGGGGAAAGTTAGCGCAGCGCGGGACACAAACGTCAACTGATTTACCAATCACGCGATCGACACTTTACTCTCCCGCCGCCAGTGATACCTAAAAATCGCTTCTGCGCAGGCAAGGACATTTGTTCAAGATGTTTGCCGGTATCTGTACTGCTAGTTATAATTATAGTAATAATATAGCTAATCTTAAAGGACTCTGGTGTTGTATGTTTGATTATTTATTTTATAAATTTTACACATTAGTAAAAATTATAGCGTAATCCTAAACATTCCATTTGCACTCTTCGCCATATCTCAAACACAATTTGTCAGAAAGAGACAAATGGATGTAATTAAAAAAAGCTTAATTAAGCTAATTTAGTCTTTATGAATAAGGGCATAAAGTATTTGTAAATGTACCGTCGATAAAGTTTTGACTCCCAACTCCTGTGACGTCAAACTCTCTAATGATAAACTTGTGATTTGTAAGGTCGCGACTTCCCACAGAGAAGGCAGAAAACAAAGAAATATTTCACTCGTGTAATGGATTGAAGTGCGCTTCAAACTTTTCACATTCAGCAAGTTTTCGAACAAATTTATCTCTAGAGAAGCGAGCAAATACATCAAACTTGAAGTAATTTCAAACACTTGTCTCGCGGAAAGGTTTACAAGTCATTGAAATTAATCTGAATTAATTGTGGCTAATTAGGTTCCTAAATAATATTCACCTCTGCATCATACTTCATACATAGCTTCGATAGTACCCTATACGATGGATATGAATGGATTGTTTGAACATAAAAGATCAATACCCTTTCAAACATTTGTCTTTTAAGGATTTCGTATTTTCATATTCTGGTAGAACCTCTCAAGAGCGACGTTAATAACGAAACTCCTAGATTACAGTTTGCACGAAGCAGACAAAGATGTCCAAGTGCGGTTGTACAGACATTTCAGACAAGTTTTTCCCAACGTATTTTGTGCCATGTACCTACCTTAATAAATCTTATGCCCCCATGTAACATAAATAACTGTTAATATCTAAAATTGAATTGCTCACTTAAGAAACTTAAATGGTAAAAAACTGAAATTACAAATAATACTTTAAAAAAAATGGAATAGCCCCCCCTTTAACTATCAAATTTCCCCCCCGTGAGCCCCCAAACGTTGGTAAACACTGTTTCAGACGCTGATAATATTTCTTTACGATGGCTAAATAGAAATTAAAACAAATGTAATAAGTTTGGTTTCCGTAGCAGTGTTCTTTTAAAGCTGGATTCTTTGCTGTATCGCGATACTTCTTCATTTTTTATATATCAATGATTATTTTTTGATATTACTATGTAGATTAAGAATTTTGTATGTATTTGTGTAAAGTATGGGCATTGATACCAGTTATATCAGGTTCAGAATAGCACGCGAACCCACGCTAAACCTGCTCAGAGCACTTCGGTTCTATTGACTTACGGGCAAGTCACGTGCAAGTACAAGTGTGGCTTAGAGTGATAAAACTTCGAAGACAATAAAGTTGAGTGAAGAAGTGAACTTGAGTTGGTTGATCCCGAAATGTCTCACGCTTTAATGGTAAAGTTTTGATTTACCACCTCCAAGTTTGCTAGATAGTTGCGATTCTTTTAAGACTTCATGAAACTTAAAGAGAATTTTATTTCCGGTACTTATAACAAATTCTTAGACGTATTTAAATGTCCGATGCTATAACTTTGATAGTTCTTTATAGCGCATGTTTTAATGCCGAGTATGAATTGATAATAGTATGGTGAATCGTCAACGTGCCAAAAGGCTTTCTCGCCGTGTCCAAGAGGTGCGATATCACAGCGTAAAGTGAAGCTGCCCGATCATTTTTAGCCGATACATTTCACTAGAAACTATTGCAGGTTCTAGATTCAACTTAATAAATGCGATCGTTAACCATACTCTAATCTTAAATTGAAAAAGATTAAAAATATGTCACAGCGACTAAAACTTTTCGGTACCACAAAATCAGACGGGGGCAATATAATAGAATGACTCTCAAATATCTAGATTTGTCCGACTACCCCCTTCCCACAGGCAAATTGCCCTGAATTATTATGATCCACTTTAAGTTGACTTCTAGTATACATGCGATTTCTTCGCTGCTATCATCGAATAAAAGGTATCCGGGAAATGGGGGAGGTCTTGTTAAGCTGGTCGATTCGCTGGTGCCTTATCGACCCACTGACTTCACAGAAATAACTGAGGATCATAATGATACCTGTAGGTGAGGTTTTAAGAACTCAGCTTAAGAACGGTTTTCTAGAAGGAGTGTGTAGGAAATTAAACCTAATCAGTAGCTAATATTTTATTGCGCGCGGGAAGAACGACCGGCGCTACCAATTTTACGCTAAATACAGTCGCAATACAAAATGTGTGGTATAATAATAAACCCCTACAAAAGTTTATTAACGTTTTCAGATGTATGAAAGCGATACTGGAGTACAGAATTAGTAGACTTCCATCCTTATACTATCCATCCAGCAAAAATGTATGTCAAAAGTGGGAATTAGAAAGCAATTTATTGCCATAGAAAAAGCGATACGCGGAAGCTGTGCTGTATTAACACTTGAAATATCTTTTCAACCAGATAAAAGATTTATAATAGTTTATACTTATATTTCATATTTTACCTGTCACTGAACTGTAATAATGGTCATTATTTCGAAATACATTTTTTTTATTACAAAAATTTTGATGAGAGATCTGTAATATTTAAACTCGGCCGATTGTCACATTTGAACCACTAGCATTTTCGTTTTGGCTTCGGTCGCGCATTTGCCAATTATATTTATTAGTTACGCTCTCAATTGCGTAATTTCTTAGTGAGTGTTAACATAATATGCACATATTTTAAACTATTTAAAGGCAATATTTACTATATTATCAGTCTAAGCCTTTATGGTTCCCATATACCTTTTTATATACGACTGACAAATATGCCTTTCTTCATGTTAAGAATAAATTGAAACGAGGTACTCAGGGCTCATTATTTTAATATAAAATTGGGTAACAACGGCCACCGAACCGTTCTACCGGTACATTGTACGTGTGTTTTTATTAATAGTAATAACCAGAGGTGCTACAAGTGCAGGTGCTACTACACTATATATTAATTTAACTGTCATTGCACCCGTATTCATCATTTTTATTAAGACAAATAGGAGATCAGCCTCCTGACATACTTCATCGATTTGAGACATGCCGATTTTCTGACGATGCTTTCTATGCTTTCCTTCATAGTACGAGTTACTGTAAGATCCGCACATAGAAAGTCCATTGGTGAACAGTCGGGGATTGAAACGACATCAGGGATGAGGATCGCACGCGGAAACCACTAATTATCTGACCATCCTCAGTCTCCGTTTTAATAACACCAGTTTATTTACCGTTTACAATCGAACACCCATTTATTCTTTAATATAAAAAGTTTCTACACAAACTGAAATAAAATCTGGAAATCGAACAGGAACAAGAAATACGAGTATATATCGTCATGACAACAATGTCGGATTTGAAAAAAAAACAAAATCCACTTTTTATCATATTTGGATTTACATTGATTAAATATTATGGCTACATTAAAAAAAACCATGTGTTTTAAATTAATCAGTCGGTAAAGTGACGGATTTGATTGATGATTTGAAACATGTCATTTTTCTAGAAAATGGTGTAATTTAATGTTATTATTTTTATTTTGTTTCAAAACAAACCCTTTTGTTTGCTTGTATTTTCATAATAACAGAATATGAATTAAAATATTTATGACAAAAACTAACATGATTATATAATTTTGTAATGGCTGCCATGTAAAGTTTACTGTTTGTCCGATCCGTCACTATTCTACGACTATGACGATATATCTAAAATTTCCTTAAATTGTGAGATGCAGTCGATAAAATAAGCACTACTCCCATATGTCAAAGAGTTACATATAAATACATATTATGTGACATATAATTGTAATACGAGATGGCTCTAAATCTAACATTGCTTAATCGTTGTGTATTGCAGGAAGAAATTAAATCTAAGCTCCAGCGAATCTAAAAAACTACCTGAGAGTCATTGGTTTTACAAAGCCGGCTCCTCATCAATCACAACGTCCCCAGTTTTTCAGGGTTATCGTTCCCCGAGGATCCTGCATGTGATGGTCCTTGCCTAAAAACTCCTGGACTGCCTATCCTTGGTTTGAATCGACGTAATTTATTGTTAACCGAAGGAGATTCGATTTTATAAAATCGGAACCATTCCTCTTGTTCAGTTAATAATTACGTAACAAACTATATGCCATACAAACCCTATTCATTTATTTAAAATATACACTTTTAATTAAATACCTTGGAGTATGGAAAACAATACAGTATAAAGTCAAAAACAGCCGATGACGTTATTATTAAGTAGTACCATAGAATTCAGCCGGGACCTTTGATTTTGGTCAATATAACCGGTAGTTGTTCTAAACGATGTCCTCGTAAACGGTTTTGACTGTATATTTAAATACTTAAACCTAACGCCATAAATAATAGAGCACATTAACAAAAAAAAAGTGCCAGCCAAATACCTTGATGCTGAATAAAAATTGTGATAATACAAGCTTCTAAGCTGTATTTATTCATTTATGGAGATAAATTCTGTGTACTTCAATACATGTAACAAAATAATAGTTAACGAATTTCGCTTATACTTTTCATTAGCGAATTATTTAGCTGTGTAAGTTTCTGTCGAAAGTCCAACGTTTGATTAAAAGATATCGATTATTTATAAGAATAGTATAGTGTTATTTTAGTTCTCGCTTATAAAGGCTTAGTTAACATTAGTTTCACTATTAACATACTATTTATTTTAAATTATGTATTGTATATGACATTAAAAACTTACTTAAACAATTTAATTTAAATAATTACTCACCCAACGGGGACGCAAAATATACTCATTTAATAATAAATGAAATGTGAAAGGAAAAGTCCTAAAAGCAAAATAAGTGAACGATATATCTCATGCAGCATTAAACAAAAAATGATACGTAATAATGCGAGTGTATAAGGAAACAATGAGACTCCCTATACGCACATCTTTTTATCCTCTCACCCCAAAACGTAGCCAAACTGTCGTCATCAACATTCACCCCACTACTCATTCAACCCCAGGCATGCGCCGAGAAGAGGTCAAGGATCCGATTGATATTGTATCTTATAAACTTTCCATTTTCTTTATACGATTCGGACACAATAAAAATTACTAGAAAAAATAAACATTGATTCCTACTTTAAAGTGAGATTTCTATACAATACTACCGGTATTGTGTACAATACGAATGTACCAATTAAAACTTGTTCGTATTACGCTACTAATAATAATATTTTTAAGCAATATTGGAAACGCTTTTAATATTTATTTTGCCGCCAATTAAAACAGACGCATGCGCGATCTTAAAACGACCCGCAGTAAAATGACTGGTCACGTGACTCGACGCGGCATTCGCTCGGCGCTCTTCGGCAGTCCTCGGCGAACCCGCATCGCGAACGGGTGTGACTGCGTTTCTTGCGTCAAACATAAAACATAAATGTCAAATTAAACGATTACGTTATAAAAAAGTGACATGTGGCCCAGTGTGGCGTAAACAAACAAAATAGCATAACGTTTTTTATATCGGTAGTGGCTGTATCGTATTTAGAGGGTCATTATACTCGGAATCGTGTGGCAAAATTCTCAGTTAGGTTTCTTGCTCGTGAACGTGGTTTTACTGAATGTTATCCCAGGTGATAAGAGACTCCTAGCGTCAATGGGCTTTACTGGGATTATATGAAAAGTGATGTGTTAAATATGTTCTAGTTAATTTGAGTAAAAATGGACCGCGTTGGTGGGGTATGTCGGTTCGGTGGAGTAGTTTCGGCGGTAAAAACAAGGACTGGTCGTAGTAAGCGAAGATCGACTGTATCACCACCAATTGTAGAAGAATTACCAGAACCTCCGAGACGGGGCCTCGGAGCTATCCTTGTGTTAGCTTGCATATTAGTCTACCACAATTCTTTGTACTGTGGTTTTGTATTTGATGATATAAGTGCCATTAAAGAAAACAGAGACTTGAGACCTCAGACGCCGATCTCAAATATATTCCTTAACGACTTTTGGGGAACTCCTATTCATAAGGTACGTTTAATTTATATCTTATACAAAAAACTTTTACTCGCAGTCTTTAATATAATGCCAACAACATACATCAACACAACACACCCGTGACTTGTGACCTAAATCCTTAGATTCTTCACACAGAAGGCTGAGATGAGCTGAGATTTTCTTGACTTACTCCTTTTAAAACTGAAAATTATAATTATTTCTGTTTAACTACGGGAATACATTTTTCGTACAAAAACTTATGCAACAGATTAAAAACGTTGAGTATTAACGTCAGTTCTACTGAAACTTAAAAAAATTGTATAAATTCGTATGTTACAAATATTTTTCGTTTTTAGGGATATTATTTTAAGACTAAATCACTTTCCTGATTCACCTTTATCTGTAAATGGTGGCATTGTACAACACATTTATTTACTTAAAATCTCTAAAAAATTAAAACATTGCGCAGGGTTTGTTGAAATAGTGACATGTATTTTTTTTAATGAAAACTCCTGTTACTAATAGCTTCCTTGTATCTCGTGAAATATATTCACTTTTATACTTATTACTTTAAAATATATTTCCTATTTATAAAAAATAAATAATAATACGACTTTATTACCCGTTTATGAAACCCCGGTCTCTTTTTCATCACCACATAACATAGAAACGTCCAGTTAAATTAGTGTAATAAAATTTCGTCATCAAGGAAAACGATATCTGCAGATAAATTTTCGCCTACCCTTAAAAAGTTTCAATATTGGAATAAAACTCGACGACAGCAAAATCAAGATTGATTATCTGAAACTAGGTCTGTGAGGCATTGTGAAACAGATTACTAAATTGAATTAACTCCATAATGACACAGTAAATGTAAATCTAAAGCATTACTGTATTAACCAGGCTTATTGGAATCCAGCGTATCATCGCTGCACTAATTAGTGTTTTCAAAACCTGTTTTTTTGAGACTTGGCTAAATTCTTATTTGCTCGGTATAACTTCATTCTAATACAGGTTTTTGGAACCAAAATTTTCCATTAACTAAACAAAACGTTTTAAGCGGCATTACAGGTAGAAAGTATTTATTTTTATGGTTTTTATTTATAGAAACGGCTCACGAATATTTTAATTCATTCATTTAATATTGTATCGTAGACAAAACATTTTGTGTCTGATAAGTCTAGATCTCAGTAAAACAATATTGTGTTATAATATCTTTATGTCACGGGCACACCTCACACACCCGAATTAGGAGTTCCATAGTTAAATGTATTCAATTATTTTTATTGATTTTTCTTTCCTAAGTTTTGTAAATTTTTGAACCTTTTGGTGCCGAAATTGTTTATTAAAACCTAAACATAATAATCAAAAAGGGATGAATAAAAATGAAAAACTTTTTAAATTTGTTTTAATTTTCCTTTTATTAATTTTTCATTAGTTAAGAAAATTGTTAATACTGTATATTTGAACCTTTTTATATATACATTATATTCCATATTTGGCTATATCTTTGTTATAATTGCTTTTTGTTTAATATAATTTAAGTTATTAAATATAAAGAGATACATAATTTTTTTATTGCTTAACGCGTAAATAATAATAGTATTTGTAATGTATGTTTAAAGTAGATAATCTGATTTATCGCTCTGAAATGTAAATGTATAATGTATACCACACATAAGTAATACGTTAGACATAAAAAAATCTACGTTTAGTACTTTTATAACTTAAAGGCACATAAATGCTTAAAAGCATCCGTAAAACGTCTCATACATTAATAAGATCTCGAAACTTCAGTGAGATTCGTGGACTGTGAAATCCTTCAACTTCCATACTTCGTTAGTTAGGAATTTGTATCTCCGAAACCTCTCTACGAATTCTATATATATTAGCTACTCCCGAATAGTTCACAGCAACTTGATAGCGATGGAGCTATAAGGAGTTTGATACAGATTAGTAGTCGCCAATACGAGTAACCTTCGTGGCTGAGTTAAACATGGTGTGGTATTTTTCGCTTTCGTGGATTTCTGACGATTTTTAGACCTAAATTAATGAAATTTTACATCAATTAATATATGTAGGAATATGTCTTAAGTGTGTATTATATAGTTTACTAGCAGACTCGGCCAAGCGTTGCTGTGGCTAAGGTTTTTGTTATATTATATAGTAAACTATTCAAGGGAAACGGTAGGAGAACACCAGTCATGGGGACCACCACGCTTTTTTGGTGGTAATGCCATTAAATTGTAGCTTATGTGAAACTTTGGTACTTTCAACACAACGCCATCTACTAGAATTGTGACTGACAAATAATAAACAAATAATTTGCAATAAAATAATATGGCGGGTATAAATTAAGATTAATAATTAAGTTATCCCATCTTTTAAGTTAGAACAAACTGCACGGTGTGCAAATTCGATTGAAATCGGTTAAGACGTTTAGGAGTTCATAGCAGACAAAAAACGTGACGCGTAATTTATATAATACGTATAGTTTACACAAAGTTTTAGTATTATTTTTAGATGGAAATGAAAGTATAATATTTTTTTAAAGAATTTATTAATATTGCAATCATTAAAATTTATAAAATTGGAATAATCTAATTATTATTATTTATCTTTTTTTTATGTAGGTAAAGAATATTGTAAATACTGTATTACTTGTGTGTTACTCATAAAAATATATTACTTGAGAATTGAATAATAATTTAGTTAAAATAATTTAAATCCCAAAAAAACTAATGAAGCACATTTCATTATGTTTGTTTAAATTTTTTAGTAAAAATACATAATTGAGTAAAATTATTAATAATTCAATTAACTCGTGAAGTTTGGTAACGATTCCATGTTTAGTAATGGAAAGTATAATGAAAATAATCGTTTCTTCTTTCATTTAAATGTGTTCTGCCTGAAGCGAGCGAGGGTGGAGTTCACAAATTACTTTGCCGTCTCTTGTTTGATGTGGTTTTATAATAGCAAAAAATAATGATCCCAAAAACAAGACAAATTTAACCGCTCCAAGAATTTTTACACTGAAGTGTTCAAGAATTTCTCGGTACTTCAGAGGTTTGCGAAGTTTCATTTTTGACAAGGATATAATTATCCAGAAACATCAAAGATTTTTAAATTATGTACCAAGAGTCCATGAAATTTAAACTGTATAATGAATATTTACTTTATTTAAAAACAATCACACTTGAAAATTCATTGCAGGGTTTTTTATACTAGTTATCAAGATCTATACATATTTGTTCGTATACGTACCTACACGTAAATTAGACAAACGATTTTAAAAATATTGCCACTATATAAAATGACACACCACCAGGGTTACGCTATACTACAATCCAATCTATGTTAGAGAAATAAATCCCTAGTAAATTCCCGTTTTTTTTTTTCCCCCCCCCTTGGCAGTGTGTGTCCATGGGCGGTATCATTGCACACACACATTTCACACGTCAGTGAGCCTCCTTCCCGTTTGCCTCGTGTAACATAAAAAAAATCCAATAATATAAATTAAACAGTATTTAGTGAGATTATTCCTATACTAAAAAAAGTTCGGCAATATGAGCATCAACGTGAAGCGATTCCCTCAAAAAACCAATACATTTTTTTATAGAACGAGGAAAATGGACTCGCTCACCTGATGTAAAGTAATACCGCCGCTCATGGACACTCACAGTGGCAGGCTCGCGAGTGCATTGCCTTCTTTTTAAACAGCGTCTGTTTATGAAGGACCCTGATTGCTTCCGAAATACCTCAATGGACAGTTTGATTTAGCGGTGGTGCACAAAAATTAAGCCCTCATTCTATATTTAAAATTGTACATTAAAGCGAATTAAAAAGAAAAACGAAATCTGACAATTGACACAAAATTTCACTGCAACTAGCGCATTATAATCTGTGTATGTATTGTTTGATTACAAGTAACTTTTAGGCCAACAACGTACGTTATCCAATTTTCCCTCTGCTCAAAAATCCAGTTAGTGTTTGCAAGTTTGCAAACGGCATCCATCACTGTCAACTGTTTTTCGTTGCATTCTTGTTTAGGCGTCAGTTTAGCATTTTTGTTTAAGCTTTCCACGTTGTTGCATTTAGCTCATACATCGTTTATTTTGAAAGTTAAAAAGGGTTATTCGTGTTTTTATGTATTGCAACTTGTGTGTACCTTTTTATGATTCAAGTAACAATATGTGTTTCGGAAATCGGAATACACAAGGGGAAGTAGTGTATTGAGAACTATTACTCAATGGGAGCTATTTATAAAACAAAACTACATTAAATCGAAACAATCAGTTCCAATTCAAAAAATCTTTCCTAAATATAAAGTGAGCCATCTCCGACGATCTCAGACTTGCCCATCGGTTTTTTGAATCAAAGTCCATAAAATATAAATTTTATTATAATATATAATTCTTCTGTGAGTGTGTATGTCACTGAACTTCTCTCAAACGACTGGACCGATTTTGATGAAATTTTTTGTGTGTGTTCAAGGGGATCTGGGAATGGTTTAGATTCACAAATCAGCCCGGCAGATGGCACTGCAGTCGGTACTTTCATACTTTGCTTAATATCCTAATCGCTTTAAATATCATGCAGGACAACGTCTGTGGGGTCCACTAGTTATATATGTACAATTAAAATTAAAAAAAAAATTAGTTATTTATATAATTCAAAAAACTATTGATTGTTTCTACCAAATACATATAAGGTGTCCTATTAATATTTGTTTGTAACTTTCCCTTCATTAAAAATCCGATGTATATATACATGCATATAGTGCTGAGAAGCTTGTTGATTTAATATATAGTCAAAGTCAAGGTCAAAAATCATTTATTTATGTAGGTAACACAATGTACACTTATGAACGTCAAAAAAGAAATATACATTAAATGCTTCTAATTTTACACTGGCGTGAACTAGAAGAGAAGAACTGGCAATAAACTCTCCGCCACTCTTTTTATATTGTAATAGGTTCATATCATTCTGGTTACTTATGTCAGTCGATTCGCTACTAATCGAACTCAATAATAATAATTGGAGTCAGTATAAAATGTGTGTATTCTGACATTTGTAAAGCGTAAAATAGTTTTAACGTAGAAACTTCAGTCCGTACCATCAAT